ATACTCCGTCATGGCTGGTGGGTGTAGCATCTGCCAAACATAACGCATTCATGTGAATGAGGCCACTGTGCAAGTGCCCTGCGACCTTTTGCAGAACAGCAAACAAGGGGTTAAAGTAGGCAGCATTGTGTTGCCTTCTCAACATCTGCTTTAACCCCTTGGACCCCGCAGAAACATGCAGTTGTGGGGCGCTTGCAGAGTGTCCCTATTTACTTGAATAGGTGGCGATTAGCAGGCGGGGGGTAGCACCCACCAAAAGCAAGAGGGGGGTTTAATTCCTGCTGCAACATGTGTACACCTTTGTCTGCTGCCTTAGCAGCTAAAAGAAGGAAGGAATTGGGGGTGGAAAAACCGCAACTCAACCAAAGGGTTTTACCACACCCCCAACTTTATGTATGAACAAGCCCTAAGGGCTCATGCACAAGTGTAGCAGGCACTGCAGCTCCTCTGAAAAGCAATCTGAGCGTTTGACAGGTGGTGAGGTGATGTGTTGCCTCATCACCTGCTTTAAACCCATGATTGCTGTAATGCAAGTGATTTTGACACAGTAGTATGGACATTAGAGGTTTAAATCTAATCCTGCTCTATAGTGTGTACTTGTCTCAGGAGCACTAAGTGTCATTTCTGTCTGCTACTTTGTTTCTTTGCTATCAACATGAATAACTTCTGACAAGTTTTCTGACACCAAGAGAAAGATGGTGGCAGAGGCGGGACCTCCAGCAGATTGACAGCCTCAGCTCTGAACCTGTGAGCTGTGTGGAGGGGGTGTATTCCTTCCCTCCAATCAGCTCTTGGAGCTCTCCTCACTGAGCTCTGCAGTGTGTAATTTCATCTCTCTGCCCTGTTTTCTGAACAGTCAATCTTTTTCTAAATTCAACATGTAGGGGGATTTGCCTCAATTCTGTGTGTCACCTAAGGCCAGTCACTTCACTGGGTATATGTGAATGTTTACTACCACTTTAACCCCTTTACAGCCACCTATGGCATATGTGTCTCAGAAAAAGGATGGGCTTAAAGTCAGGGGCGGACTGAGAACTCATAGGGCCCCGGGCAATAGGGGATCATGGAGAGCCCCTGTGTCCTTGCCCAAACTCAAAAAAGCCTATGAAAAAGGTACCAGGGGCATCTCATGGGGCCCCCTACTGACCCCGGGCCCTCGGGCAGTGCCCAAGTTTCCAAATGGTCAGTCCACCCCTGCTTAAAGTAGAGTTCCAGCTAAAAATAAATAAAAGTCAGCAGCTACCAAAATTGTAGCTGCTGACTTTTAAAATACAGCCACTTACCTGTCCCTCCAGCAGTATTATCCTCACCACTGCTGCATTCACCGGCCGTCTTCTCTCCCAGGCATCTTTAGTGTGGGCACCCAGCTGTGACAGCTTGCGGCTTGACAGCCAGGTGCCCACTGCGCATGCGTGAGAAGCGCTGCGCTTTGTGAATGGCTCCGTAGTCTTCTGGGACCTGTCACATGTCCCAGAAGACTATGGGGAGGGAGGACAACTTCCGCTTCTGATCTCCTAGGCGATCGCAGCGGAAGTGGGTACCTGTCAAATTTGGGTACCCACTCCCCAAAGGTGCCAATCCTTAATGGGGAGCGGGGGACAAAGGCTTAAAGCGGAACTTTCCCTTTTGGGTGGAGCTTCGCTTTAATGTTTCTGTGCTGAGAGCGTACTTACTACATACTCTCAGAACAGTGACCAACTTGTGAAATACAGCTTTTGGTCCCTCCCTAATGATTGGTAGCTGGCAGGACCAGCTCCTGATCATGTGATCACAGTGACAGCAAATCAGAGGGATTATGTGATCGGCCAATTACACCCCTTCCCCATCCCGGCATACAGAACTTTTTAAAGAGGTGCTTTTAGGAATATAATTTCAGTAATTTGTTGTGACATTTACCTGTTGACATGACAGTCACACTTTTCTTTTCTTGTTGTTCCACATTTAGATTATTGTATTTCATATTTAAAATACTATGCAGAGAAAGCTTTGTGTGTACAAAGGCAGAGATACCTACCTGTCTTGATGAAAATGCTGCTCAAGGCTCCTTCCAGTGTAGGCACAGGAGTGAAGGCCCAGGCTGTTGCTCACACGATCTTTGCTGAGGGGGAGCATCCTTTGTAGAGATTGGCGATTCCTCCCATTCAGCAGAGACCACACGGCTAAATGCTTTGGCCTTCACAAGTGTTTCATACTAAATGGAACCAGTAGCAGCATTTTCCCCGGGACGGTACTGAAGTCCTTCTAGAACTATGCATCCTTCTTAGCAAGCCTTTTTGGAGTAGAGGTCCTTGAGTACGTGTTTGCCTTGTACCTTCAAATCTGCTTCCATATCTTTCAAGTAAAAACCGTAAGCATCATAGAATAACAAGTAAGTCACCAGACATTACACACAATTTATTTTCATTTATTTTGCCCATTGCTCAAATACATACAGTTGCTTTGACACCCAGGACAGCCCTGTGGATGCCGTAGCTATTAAAAGATGAACAAAATGGCTGCCTTGACTCAACCCATGATTGCACCATGCCAAACCACAACCATGGGTCAACCCCTGGGACCAAATAAACTCAACTTTTTATGAAAATAGAACTCTCCTTTTCCACTGAGATCAATTCTGTGTTCAGAATTTCTTTTCAAGAACATTGTTGAATGGAATGCACACATGTACAGTCATCTGCCACCATCACAAGGGCCTGAATCATGTCTGAAAGAGAACAGTTTGTGATGCCAAAAAGTGACCAATCACTTTACATGACTGGCAGGAAGGATCTAGATGCTAAGGCTGCCTACTGTGCAATGCTTTGCTAATAGGTTTTGTTCTCAAAGCTGGGTCAATAAGACAGCATCAACTTCAATCGATATAAAGTCTGTAAACAGAGAAATATGATAGGGGAACACCCATTAAAAATGAACATATCGTGAAAAGGAAGCCTTCCAGAGAGGATATAGGACAATTCCCACCAGCTCCAATGAAAGGAAAAACATATATATTCAGGAATTGTTTGAAGATTTGTAATACAAGTACACTTGTTCCCTACTCACCCACTGTAGAACATATACAGGGTGTCAACACTTTTCCGCCTGGGTTCACACTTGTGCGGTGCAACATACCGCATGTGATTCGCACAGGAACTGCACCGTATTCCTGTGCGAATTCTGTGCGGTGCGAATTGAGCCACACATTTTGTATGCCTCAAATCGCACCAAAGAGGTGCAGGACCCTTTTTTTGGTCTGCACTAGAATGGGATTGCATGGGTGTTCACACCTATGTGATCCGATTATGCACATCACACCGCGTTTTGCAAACTGATTTCGGGGTGTCATTAACTTAAAATACACCCCCGCAATGGTTCATGTGAACGGGGTGTGATTATGATGCGGTGCAGAAATCATACAGAAACCGGTGCAAATTTCGCACTGCATCAGTGTGAACCCAGGCTCAAAGCCTGCAATTGTGCCGACTCCTTGCCACTGCCCCACCTCCTGCTTGCTTTTTGCAAAACTGAATGCCCATCTCTCTTTCCTTTATGTCCATTTAAATGCCTTTTTTGTTCCTGCCCATCAGCTTAATGTTGTAGTAAAGTTTAATTTTTTTTTTAAACGGCTGACAGACAGGATATTTATGACAGAGGAGACCCTATCGGTCATAAATTCTTCCTCCTGTCAGCCATCATGTACACCGAGCCTCACATGTGCATCTCAGCAAACATTTATGGCCCCGATCTGTGGCACTCCAATGCGACTCCCGTGTGCATGCGCGGGAGTGATGTCATTATGGCCCAGCCATTCAAGTGGCCGAAGGCACAGAACCTGGAAGGAAAATCGGGCGAAGATTGAAATGCCTGGGACCTGCCGGATCGATCACGGTTTGACAGGTAAGTGTGCCAGAATGTGTTAATATGATGTGCATACTAGTATATTATGGCATAACCCACCTGGGGGGCCCCTAAAAAGAAGTAATGTTAGCAGTTTACTACTGCTTTAACAGCCATTGCACATAGGCCTTTGATCACACCAGAGCTGCTTTTCTCTTCATACAAGTCAACAGGAATGCAAAAGTAGCTTAGAAGGAGGTCAAATGCAGGGCAGAAGCACCTATGAAGGAACTCTACCTAAACCTAAAATAATCCCAGTTTCAGCAGAATGCACCTGAAAGCCTGCTGCATTTGCCCAAGCCTTTACAAAGTGGCCACTCCCACTGCAAGACGGATTTTAACTTTCAGTTGGTGAGCAACAGTTCAGACTAAGGCCCCTTTCACACAAAGATTTTGATGAGGTCCACAGATAAGAGAAGAGAAAACAGCGGCACCACTCTAATCTCCCTGCGCCTCTCTGCCACCCCGAGTCCTGGAAACCACCGGAACGGTGGGAACGAACAGGAGCACCACACAGGACTATCAGCATCACCAGACCTACCACATACTGACAAGCCTGCTTTTATCCTACACTTGTGAGTGTGTTTTTATCATTTAGCTTAGATTCACACTACAGCGGTTGCAAAAATTCCATGTGATCTGCACAGGAACCGCACTGCATTCCTGTACAAATCACATTCGATTTGTATGCGGTGCAATTACAGCCATACATTTTGTACGGCTCTATTCCCACCGCATCTGCACCAGAATCGGATCGCATAGGTATTCACACCTATGCGATCCGATTCTGCACATCGCACAGTGTTTTGTGGACCGATGTGGGGGTGTCGTTAACTTAACATACACACCTGCATCGGTCCGTGTGAACGAGGTGCGATTGTGATGCGGTACGGAATTCGCACCGCATCAGTGTGAACGAAGGCTAAATCAACCTGCGTCTTAACACGTAGAGTGGTGCCGCTGTTTTCTCTTCTCTCCTGTCTGTGCACTAGAGTAACTTCAAGCACTGACAGCTGGCTGCCTCCATCTTCAAGACACATATATATTTACCTACAGACTTATCCATCTTTGAACCTTCCACTCAGGACAGTACTGGATCACATACCTGCAAGCCCCTATCTCAGGGGCGGACTGACAACTCATGGGCCCCCCGGGCAATAGGGGATCATGGGGCCTCTGTGTCCTCGCCCACACTCAAACCACACCCAAAAAAGCCTATGAAAGGTACCAGGGGCATCTCATGGGGCCCCCTACTGACCCCGGCCCTTGGGCAGTGCCCGAGTTCCCAAATGGTCAGTCCGTCCCTGCCCTATCTACATAAATGGATATTTTACATATATATCCACTTATGGCCCTCCTATTCCTCTTGCATTGAACTGTATTGTTGCTGTATTGTCTCCTGTTATATTGTAAAGTGCTGAGCAAACTGTTGGCGCTATATAAATCCTGTATAATAATAATAATGGTCCATCCCTAATCCCCATCTCATTTTGGGTTTAAGTTCTAGCGCACCTTAATCTCCCTCTACCCAAACTATTTTGATCAGCTCCGCCTATCAGTTTTTCAGGTGGACCAGATCGGCCGGTCCATTCACCCCTATGGACCAGCAGGCGTAAACGGACTTGTGTCCGTTTACACCTACCTACTTCTGGTCCGCTTAAAAAACGAAGGGGATCCGTCTTCCTCAGTCTAGGCTAATCGGATCGGAGGGCAGTTGGGTGTAAACAAACAGAGTCCGTTTACTTCCGACCACCCATACAGCAGAGCCAGTTCTGTGTGTGTCCACTCTGCAGAAACTGACATGTACCGGCAGGGGCAGACTGACAACTCATGGGGCCCCCGGGCAATAGGGGATCATGGGGCCCGTGTCCTTGCCCAAACTCAAAAAAGCCTATGAAAAAGGTACCAGGGGTATCAAATGGGACCCCTGGCCCTCGGGCAGTGCCCGAGTTTCCAAATGGTCAGTCCGCCCCTGCATACCTGTCATCCGCCCGCTCAGGTCAGCAGGGGATCAGCAGACAGATGCCTTGCTGAACAAAATGGAGTCTGCCCCGTGTGAAAGGGGCCTAATCGTTATATAATCCCAGAGTAAGAGCAGGGACTTGATAAAGACCTGCATTAGTTACAGCAAAACAAAATGAAGGTGCTGCCGTGCACACAAGTGCTCTAGAAGCTCAAACAACTTCTAGGAGCTGAAGTCAAAGCAAAGATAAGTAATCTGTGTCTTATACCTCTCTGATGGCTTTAGCTCCTAAAGGAGTGCAAAATCTGCTATATAAAAAAAAAAAAAAAAAAAAAGCAGAACTCCATCCCCCAATTCTGATATCCAATTTGGTCATTCCTTACACATTTCTGTAACTAAAGTACACAATATCAAAGCTCTAATAATGGGGTGAAGTTTTTGTCAAGAGGTGGAGCAGAGACCACCCAAATAGAGAGAGAACTGTAACTCTTAGAAAATATAATCACGTAGTTTAGTGTTCACAGCTGAATAGCAAAGACTGGTTGCTGCAGCTTTTACAGATAAGCAGTGGCTACAATAACCAGCTGAAAATACTTTTATAACTTTTTTTTTAATTTCTGGAGTTCCTTAACAAAGGGAATAACAACAAAGAAAAATCTGGAAAATTCAGTTAACTTAGAAATACCAGACTTCAGCCGTTTGGGAATGTTGGCTATACTCCATAGACTCAAACTGAAGAGCATGGATTAAGGTTGAGTGGATTATGCCTTTAAATAGACTGATCCAATTAAGGCCAGTGGATGCCCTGCCAGTGGGCCAATCAGTGGCTACCATCTACTAGGACATGGGTTAAGAACAGGCGATGGTAGTGATTTTAGATTGAAGGAAGTCAATACTAGAAGGCCAAGGAAACTAGAATGAACTTACAATATCAGAAAACCGGAATGAACTTAAAATCTCAGCAAATGCTGTGGTTCTAAACAAAATTTAAATTTGGTCACCAGTAAAAGTATTTTATCACTTCAAACGCACATGAGGTGAAAACAGTTAAATGTAACTAGGGACAAACAACCACAGGACCGCACCACAAAAAACAAAATGGAGAGAAAAAAAAAAAAAAAACATAAAAAAACCAAAACCTTATAACTCAAAGGCTATCCCACTCCATTGTGAATTTAAAAAACCAATAACTCTCTGCCTCCCCCCCTTGACTTGAAATCTTCATCCAACTGGGAAGAGCCTGGATATATTGGTGGCAGATTAAAATGTCCGCCCTGATGTCAAAAAGAGTTAACAAGTACCGCCTGCAGAATGTTACAGTCTCCTGATTTAAATGCACTTCCCTGATGTAAAGAACAAAAAAAAAAACGCTTAAATTAGGGAATGTAGGAGAATTATGGTCTTAAAAAGAAAGGAGTGACCTATAGAAGCAAACATGTTGCAATAAAAACGATTACTCCACATGACTAATGTCTCTTGTGGATATGCTGCGGTCAGACACATGCTGGTAAAAGTGACTTTGGCCCTTCTGAGGACCACCAAAAGTTAGAACTGTTCAAAACCAGGCAAGTTCATTGGTGAGACCGCAGTGTTACATGGAAGTGCAAAGAGTTTTCAAGCAGCATGTGGTATAGTGCAGAACGGCCAATTTTGTGTTTTTGGTTTGTAAAACTATATGATCACGGACAACCATCCAACTCCCGTTAATTATCTCTGCTCGCATTGGTGATAACTGTTACAAATCCAGGCAACGTTCTCATTGGTTCACGAGAAGAAAGACATGAAGGTCGTTTTGAGTGGGCAATAAAAATAGGTTCCTCCTGAGTGTGACTGCCACTCAAGCGTATATGTTCTTCTCATTAGCTGAGCTCTGGGTGAGGTGATATGATCCATGGAAGAGAGGATGAGGAGAAGATGAAGCAGTCTGGTTGGTAAATGGTTCTTCTCCACTTATTAACTCTCATACTCCCCACTGGAGGTGCCATCATACAAAAGAACAAGGTTGTGCTTGTTCTAGAATAAGTATGTGGTGAGGGAGGCAGAGGATCAGGATCCATGAAGGAACATGAGCACACATCTTGATAGACCACCTAGAGCTCCTCATATTCCCCACCTGAGCGTGGCCGGCTTGGAGCTCCTCCACCAAGAAAGGCCTCCAGTTCATCAAACTCATTTTTTTCCTTTGTCTTCTTAGATTTTTTCTTTTTGTCTTCTTTCCCCTCTTCTTTGTCTTTGCCTTTCTTGTTTTTTGTCTTTTTCTTGCTTGATTTTTCCTCTTCTGGAATCTGGTAGTAAAGAGAAGATTCTTTATTGACAAAAGACTTACACCCAATGGTAAAAAAAGAAAATGAAAGGGCTATTTGGAACAAGAACATTAAATTAGGAAAAAAAAAAAAAAGAATATGTAGCCAAATTAGTTTCAAAGCTACTTATACAGTTGAAACACATACATGAGGTCTGTTGAAATTCTGTCCCAAGTAGTTGTAGTCAATGGTGTATTTAGGTTTTATGCTGCCCTAGGCAACGCGAAAACCGTATGCCCACATGGACACCGACCAACACAACCCCCCCTTCCCCCTCCCGCAGAGAGAATGGCATTGATCAACAACGAGCCTTCCACTAGCCCCCCAGCGATAGAGAGACACTCATCTTCACAGCTCTGGACATCCCCGGGACCGAGAGCCAGGCTCTACATACACCATGAAACAGGCTGCAGCCTCTCTTGGATCCCACTTGGTTCCCATGGTGCACATGTCCCTTCTTTCATTCCTTCTTCTAGGGCGAGGTGCTGCCCCCTTGAAAAATGCCGCCCTAGGCAAGTGCCTTGTTTGCCTTATGGTAAACACACCCCTGGTTGTAGTCCAGAAAACCCCTACCAGACACCTCAGCCAAGTCCTCTGCAGACTACACTGGAGTTGGACAATATAGCCTGGTCTAGGACCCACCCTAGCCTTTGATTGGACAGTTTATTAAAAGCAGCACAGTGATGAGATTACCACTCTGCTCTCTCTTCCAGTAGACAGCACTGTATAATGCTGTCCAGTACTGATGCCTCTCCCTAGAGATCTTTTATGTAGTTGACTACAAAAACCTAATATCAAGAGCAATATGAGTCCTTTTTCAGATGTTTTTTAATGGATTCTTAAAATGGAGAAAAGATATTACAACTTTGTTGTCCAATTCCAGACTGAAGAAAAATGCAGAGGTTGGCCCTGCTCTCTGGCAGGGATGGTGGGGCACAAGGCTGAATGATGTTAAGCTAAACAAGCACATGGGGAGACTTTCATACTGCCACTATATTTAGGTCTGTAAATGAAGGGTTACATTTGGGTGTAATCCTTTATAGAATGAAATCTGCCAAGTCTAAATCGAAGTGGCAGGTCAGTAGAAGCTGATGACAGGTCTCAGTGATGGCAGCTTGTTAACGGTCTACGTTCTTACATAACACTGATAAGAATCCTACAAAGTGAAGGCAGCAAGCTGCTCCAGAGACCTGATGATTTAATCAGAATGAATGCTTTATTTCATTAACAGGTTATGTCACCTCTTTGCTCTTCTTCTTCTTTTTCTTCTTCTCTTTACTCGTCTTACTCTCTTTGTCTAGAAGAGAATATTCAGAGATGGATCAGCTCCAATGTATATTTATATACTGGTGCATCTCAATAAATTAGAATATCATCAAAAAGTTAATTTATTTCAGTAATTTAATTCAAAAAGTGAAACTCATATATAGATTCATTACACACAGAGTGATACATTTCAAGTATTTCTTTCTTTTAATTTTGATGATTATGGCTTAGAGTTACAAAAACCCAAAATTCTGTATCTCAGAAAATTAGATTATAGGGATGCACTGAAATTTCGGCCACCGAAACTTATCGGTCAAAAATAGCCTTATCTACATTTTTTCAATAGGAAAAATTTAGCCGATACAGGTGCAGATACAGGGAACTGTGTGTACTGCAGATTTGGGGGGAATGGCTGAGAAAGGCAGAGGAGCAGTGTATACAGTCTCTGGCTGTCAGTATATGTCAGTGCTGGTTTTAAAATTTAATTACCAGCTTTTTTTTTTTTTTCTGCACTATAGCTCACAGAATTAGCTGTCACTTTCCCCAGCTAAAAGAAACAAAAGTTTCCTTTTAGTTTCTTTCCCAGAGTTAAAAGAAACAACGTTTGTTTCTTTTATCTCGGGAAAGAAACTAAAAGGAAACATTGTTTCTTTTAACTTGGGGAAAGAAACTAAAAGGAAACTTTTGTTTCTTTTAGCTGGGGAAAGTGACAGCTAATTCTGTGAGCTATATTGAAGAAAAAAAAAAAATAAAAGCTGGCAATTGCATTTAAAAACCAGCACTGACATATAGTGACAGCCAGTGAGGGAGCCTCTCTGTATACACTGCTCCTTCTCCTGCCCCCTCCTTGCACACACTGCCCCCCCCCCCTCCCCCCTACAAAGAGGAACTGTCACTTATATGCTATCACATAGGGGACTATTGGTCCTCTATGTGATAGCAATAAAATCATAAGTTAAAAAAAAAATATATGAATATATACACGCACGCACACACATATAGACACACACACACACGAAAGTACAAAAAAAAAAAAAAATATACAAAATTGCAGCCTCCGCACCCCAACGCCAGTAAAATGTGCTTGCTTACAGTGTAAAACACACACAGCACATCATATAAAACAGCACACCGTTAACCCTTTGATCGCCCCAGATGTTAACCCCTTCCTGCCCAGTGTCATTAATACAGTGTCAGTGCTTTTTATTAGCACTGATCACTGTATTGGTGTCACTGGGGATGTCAGTGACATCAAGTCAGTTCCCCTCAGTGTCAGACTGCCCGCCGCAGTCCCGCTATAAGCTGCTGATCGCCACCATTACTAGTAAAAAAAAAAAAACAAATTCCAGTATATATACTGCCATTTGTAAACAATATAACTTTCATGTAAACCAATTAATTTACATGTATTGGGATTTTTTTTAGCAGAATACATTTTGGCCTAAATTTTGATTTTTTCAAAATTGTCAGTCTTTTTTTGTTTATAGCGCAAAAAATTGAAAACCGCAGAGGCGATCAAATACCACAAAAGGAATCTCTATTTGTGGGGAAAAAGGATGTAAATTTAATTTGGGTACAGCGTTGCATGACCGCACAATAGTCAGCTAAAGTAACAGCGCTGCATTGCAAAAAATGGCCTGGTCAGGAGGGGGGCAAATCCTCTGGAGGGCAAGTGGTTAAGAAAAAGAGAATGGCACACTGTAGACTTTATAGTCACATTTATGTAAACAGCATGCAGATTGCATCTCACCTTCCTCATTGTCTTTAGGCACTTTCTCCTCAAACCCTAAACCAAAAAGATCATCTTCTCTGACTTTAAACGAGGATGTTGGAGGCTTTACTGGCTCGGCAGGCCGAGAGGTTATCGTCTCTTCACTGGAGCTGTCTGACATGTTATTCAGCACTGGGAATGCATCCTGCAGAAATACACAAATGAAAAATGAAACATCTTTTCAATAATAAAGCTGAACAGGCATGTATAAAACATGCAAATTAACAGAACTTTATTTATTCACCATTACTGCATATGCTTTTTTTTTTTTTTTTTTAACTAAAAGTAGTTTTTGAATTTGACTTGATATCAGCGTCTTGCAATTCTCTGTATAGCAACATAGATAGACTGGGAGAGGCAGGATTGGAAGCCAATCAGATGTGTTGCATACAAATGTATTGACAAGATTGTATTGAAACTGTTTTTCCCTTTATATTGGCCTGCACATAAATGTGCATTCAAATGTACAAAAATGCTCAAAAAATGGATGTGCTTTGTCTTCCACTGGTGCTCACTGACATGCATTTTTATGAGTGTTAAATTGCTATTTATTTTGCATGTTATTTCCTTTGATACAACATCCTTTTCCTGTTTTTGGGTTGAGAGAAGGCGTGAGGGAAAAAATAAAAAGAGATTAAGACAATTTTGTTTGTGGAATTGGCAAGCAGGATGTCTAGCATAACAGCCCTAATCATTGTGATTGTTCTAGCTATATTGAGGAGGAGGCGGCGGATGAAGAGTAAAGGGCAGTTTTGGACCTTATACCAGGATTTAGGTCACTCATCAATATCTATTAAGCATGCCATTGGGACTACTCACTTTAAGATGACTGCCACAAGGGTTTTAGTATTATTTATTATTATTATACAGGATTTATATAGCACCAACAGTTTGTGCAGCGCTTTACAAAGTGAAGATAGACATTACAGTTACAATACAATTTGGTAGAAGAGGAATCAGAGCTCGTTATAGCTTACAATCTAGGGGAAGGGTTGAGTGATACAAAAGGTAATAGCTGGGGGATGAGCTGATGGAGAAAATAAATGGCAGTTTACTAGGCAGAAGCAGGATCGTTTCTTTAATTAGAAAGGTTTTCAGGGATAGTCTAAAGGTGGATAGATTAGGAGACAGCCAGACAGATTGAGGTAGTAAGGGACAATAATAAAAAAAGATTATTTTTTTTTCAATAGTCTTGTGTTGCACTGATGTGCATTTATGTGTGTTATGTTAACAATGTATATACAGTGGTACCTTGGTTTACAAATGTCTCGGTTAACGTAATTTTCGGTTTCCGAATGAAAATCCATTGAAAATAATGCCTCGGTTTACAGATATATTTACTCATTTTTATCACAATACGAAGTTTATGTCGGTGCCGATTTTTAAATGCAATTACCAGCTTTTTTTTTTTCTTCTTCACTATAGCTCACAAGATTAGCTGTCACTTTTCCTGGAGTTACAGGAAACTTTGTTTCTTTTTAACTAAAAGGAAACATTGTTTCTTTTAACTTGAGGAAATAAACTAAAAGAAAACTCTCTCTTTTAGCTGGGGGGAAAGTGACAGCCAAATCTCTGAGCTATAGTATGAAAAAAAAAAAAAGCGGTAATTACATTTAATAAACCGACACCATAATAAATAAAACAACAGCGTGGGGTCCCCCCTCCCATCCATACCAAGCCCTTCAGGGTCTGGTTTGGATCTTGTGGGAAACTCACACGTCTAATTTAAAAAACAAATCGCACATCCCCCCAATATCCATACCAGACCCTTATCCGAGCATGCAGTCCGGCAGGTCAGGAAAGGGAGGGTGGGGGGAAGAGCGAACGCCCCCCCCCCCCTCCTGAACCATACCAGGCCACATATGCCCTCACACCAGCGTTGGTGTCCCCCCCACCTCCATACCAAAGCCCTTTCACATGGTAGGGCGCTTTGGGGCAGGGGGGTTCCCCCCCCAAATATCCTTGTACCCATGTTGATGGGGACAAGGGCCTCTTCTCCACAACCCTGGCTGGTGGTTGTGGGGGTCTGCAGGGAAGGGGCTTATCAGAATCTGGAAGCCCCCTTTAACAAGATCCCGCCCCCCCCCCCATGTGAATGAGTATGGGGTACATGGTACCGCTACTTATTCACAAAAACTGCAGTGTGAAAAAAGACAATGTGCGCTGACTTTTAAAATACAGACATTTACCTGGCCTTCAATCCAGCGGTGTCCTCACCACCGCTAGTTTCACCGGCCATCTTCTCTCCCTGGTGCCGGCATCTTCAGTGTGGGCACCTGGCTGTGAGAAGACTACGGGGAGGGAGGACGACTTCCGCTTCCGATCGCCTAGGCGATCGCAGTGGAAGTAGGAGCGGGTACCCTGTCAAATTCGTGTACCCGCTCCACAAAGGTGCCAATCCTTAATGGGGAGCAGGGGACAAAGGATTAAAGTGGAACTTCACCTTTTAGGTGGAGCTCCACTTTACAGTATCTGCTACTGATGGTTTGGGGCCAAATACCACAGCATACCTTCAGAGGTCTAGTGGATTCCATGCCTTGATGTGTCAGGGCTGTTTTGGCAGCAAAAAAAGGCCCTACTCAATATTAGGTGGGTGGTCATAAAGTTATGGCTGATCAGAGTATGTATTTTGCCTTCAGTTAAGCTTAAAGTGTATCTATTGCAAAAATGTTAAATCATATATTAATTTCCACATTGCATTTCAATTACTTCTATTAATCTGAACAAGCTTGACATTTGTAAACTTTCTGTGACACATATTCACTGTTTTCTGCGAGTAGGCACTGCTGTGGCACACATTTCTCAGAGCCTGCCTTCTGAAAGACAGGTGTGCTGAGAGGAGTTTCAGGAGGCAGAGTCAGTACAGGAATCACTGCTTGCAGGCAGCGAGGTACCATGGGATATGTAGTCCTTAGAAAGTAAACCAAAGGAATTAGCAAAGAAGATGCTGCAAAGCATGCAGGGAAACCAGGACATTTATTAAATTGATGGCCAGGAAACAGGAAGAGCTCAGAAAATGAAAGGAGATTTTTCAAGTAAACTTATAATATGCGGTGACAGATCTTTAAAGCTGAAACCTAAACCAACGGAAATAATAATGCTGCCTACCATACTGGTGAAAAATTATGCAAGAAGCCTTAAAGTGGTTATAATCCTCAGACATGAAATATGAACAAGGCATATCCCTCTATAGTGTGTAGTTGTCTCAATCAAAAGCACTAAGTGTAATTTTCTGTCTGCTGCTTTGTTCCTCTGCTGTCAGCATGAGTCACGTCTGACAAGTTTCCAGACACCAAGAGAAAAATAGTGAGAGAAGAGGGGCCTCCAGACAACCTCAGCTCTGTTCCTGTAAGCTGTGTGGAAGGGGGTGTGACTCTTCTCTCCAATCAGCAATAAGAACTTTCCTCACTGAGCTCTGCAGAGTTTAACTTCAGCTCTGCACCCCACTTTTTCTGAACTCTCAGACACACTTTAAAATTCAGCACTTTGGATGTAGAGAACACTGCAGATAAACAAGTACAACTTATATAGGAGGATTTGTTTAATCTCTGTGTATCACCTGAGGCCAGTCACTTCACTGGGTAAACGTAAGGGTTTACAGCCACTTTAACGTTCCAAATTTGTCACTGCTAGCCCCTCCTGAACATGTTAGTGATCCTCTGACTTCAAAAGTCACTCAGCTAGGACAAGTATGAAACCTGTAGTCTAAACACCTGGTCTGCATACTTGTTTTGAACGGTGACTCAGTAAGTACTAATGCTACTGAATCGCTGTGACAACCAATAATTTCCATACCAAATTACCAAAACTCATCCCCAAAATATACTGCAGGGGCTTCAAAACAAAAAAGGTGTTTAAATTATTACAGTTAAAGTGGTTGTAAACCTCAGACATGAAATATGAACAAAGCATATCCCTCTATAGTGTATACTTGGCTCAATTAGGAGCACTGTCATTTCTGTCTGCTGCCTAGTTCCTCTGCTATCAGTATGGGTCACTTCTGATGAGATTTCATAACAGCAAGAGAAAAATGGTGACAGGGGAGGGATCTCCAGACAACCTCAGCTCTGTTCCTGTGAGCTGTGTGGAGGGGGGGTGTGTCTCTTCCCTCCAATCAGCTCTCAGAACTCTCTTCACTGAGCTCTGCAGAGTGTAACTTCAGCTCTCCGCCCCCTTTTTTTCTGAACTCTCAGGCAAGTTTTAAAATTCAGCACTTTGAATGGATGTAGAGAAAAGAAGACTGCAGACAGACAGGTACAACATATGTAGGATTAATTTCATCTTTGTGTATCAAAGGCCATTCACTTACTGCGTATACAAGTATGTGAGGGTTTACAACCACTTCAATTTTCTTTAGAAAGCAGCACAAAAGCTGAGTAGAAAAGTCTGTCCCCTGCCAGAATGCTGCAGAGATTGACCCTTGGAAGTAGTGTTTTAGCCATTCTGGCTTCATCTCACCTGAGACTTGGAAACATGGTTTGAATCTTCACTATCAAAATCTGGGTCATCCATAACAAAGGAAAGCATTTGTGTGGCAATCGGTCCCTCCTGGTCACTGTCTGAATCCATTTGGACCTTCACTTTCGCTTTCTTGGATTTGCTAGATGCCGGAGCAAGGGTGGGGGCTGAGTTGGGTTTCTCGGGGTGAGTCTGAGGGGCTGAGACTTTGGAAGGCTTCCTGAAATATAGAAGAATTACAAAATGACTAAGTGGAAGAACAGCAAAGCCTACCGTATTTTTCGGACCATAAGACGCACCTGACCATAAGACGCACCTGGTTTTTAGAGGAGAAAAATAGGAAAAAAAATATTCTGAACCAAATAGTGTAATAAAATATTTAATAAAGTATAACAGAATAATATTTGAACCATATAAACTGAACAGCAGTCAACAGTGGCATTAATAATCATTATCACTGTCATTAACACATAAAGACAAAGGTTTGAGTACTCTAGTCTTCTGAAAACCCCAAGAACTCTTCTTCGCTAGAGTCAGAATTCATGAAGCTCATTTGGTCACAATCACTGACATCACTTTCTTCGCTGTCTTCGTATAAAATACAGTCTTCACTTCCATCTAAGGCATTGCTAATGCCACATTTTTTGAACGACTGTACAACAATCTCTTTCTTCACTGAGTCCCATGATCTTTTCACCCATTCGCAAACTTGAGTGATGGTGGGCCTCTTCATTCGTCCAGTGGGTGTCAAATCATGGTTACCATCAGCCATCCACTTGTTCCACTCTTCTCTCATAAAGACCTTAAATGGCTTGTTTATGGAGACATCAAGAGGTTGCAACTGGCTGGTAAGACCTCCGGGAATGACAGCTAGATGGGTCTTTACTTCCTTGAAGCACTTTTTGGTTGGTTCACTAATATGTGCTCTAAATTGGTCAAGCACTAATAGGGCAGGTTTTTTCAGAAGTCCTCCAGAACGTTTGGACCACACCTTTTCAACCCATATTTTCATGCCATTGTCATTCATCCATCCTTTTTCATGGACGTGTACCACAACACCTCTTGGAATGGCATCTTTTGGAAATGTTTTCCTTTTAAAAATCAGCATGGGTGGCAATTTGGTGCCATCGGCACAGCAGGACAACACAGCTGTATAATGCGTCTTCTCGTGCCCTGAAGTTTTCACTGTGATGGTTTTGGCACCCTTCAGGTCGACAGTCCTATTAGAAGGCACATCAAATGTTAGCGGAACTTCATCCATGTTCCCAATCTGGCCAATTTCAAAGCTGTTTTTCTTTCTGGCTTTGATAACAAAATTGTGAAAGGACAGAATTTTAGCCTCATATTCTTTGGGCATTTTTTGGGCAATTCTGGTTTTGGTACGCATAGCAAGACCACATCTTCTCATGAATCTGTAGCACCATGATGGTGATCCTGTAAAGTCTTGAATGCCCCTCTCTTTAGCAATGCGTTTCGCTTCAAAAATGATCATTTTTGTTGAGACGGAAAAGCCATTATTGCGATGAAGCATGATCCATTCTTTCACGTCCACCTCCAACTCTGGCCACTTTGCAGCATGCCCACGGAAAGTGTGCTTGCTTTTGTCTTCTTTTTGCAGCCGATCCTCCTGTTTCCTCCAATCTCTAATCAGTTTTTCAGTTGGAGGCGGCCCAAAATGCCTCTCCGCTGCTCTGTTTCCATGCTCTTTAGCATATTTGATAACCTCCAGTTTGTATGGAATTTTATAGGCTATTCTTTTCTGCTTCAGCATCTTTGTAGAATGAGGTACAGTAGTACGGTACAATATTTTTCTGCAACAAAATGAAGGAACTTTCAGTATACCATAATTTCTTCAATGATTACGGTACTATTGAGCACTAACCATTTGCGTTTTCACTGAGCGCTGACCATTTGCTTTGTCACTGCATACTGTATATTTTTCATCACTGGTACCATATATGGGAGTATGGTTTATGGTACCATATATATATTTTATGGTACCGTATAGGTTTATGGTTTATGGTACCATATATGGTACCATATATGGTAGTATGGTGGGAGTATGGTACCATATATGGGAGTATGGTTTATGGTACCGTATATGGGAGTATACCCGTATATCTGAAGTACCGTATGGTACCGTATACTGGTACTGGTACAGATCACAAAAGTGACAATTGAAAGGAAAAGAGGGACAACTGAAATAAAAAGAGTGACAATTGAAAGAAAAAGAGTGACAATTGAAAGAAAAAGAGTGACAATTAAAAGAAAAAGAGTGACAATTAAAAGAAAAAGAGTGACAATTGAAAGGAAAAAAGGGACAGAGGGAAAACAGTTTTTTTTATTGGGAACAGTTTATTGGGAAAATGTATGTAGTGTAGTGTAGTGTAGTGTAGTGTGTAGCGACATTTTACCTCAGAAGCCGATGACTGTGAGGGGCATGCGCACTGCTGTGTACTGTAACACCGCCTACTACATGCTATCCTCCAATAGCATACGGCGGTGACACAGCAGCATCGCGCCCCCTGCACAGATCGGCTTCCCGAGGACAAGGTAAGTGAGAGGGGCATGCGCACTGCTGTGTACTGTAACACCGCCTACTACATGCTATCCTCCAATAGCATACGGCGGTGACACAGCAGCAGCATCGCGCCGCCTGCACAGATCGGCTTCCCGAGGACAAGGTAAGGTGAGAGGGGCATGCGCACTGCTGTGTACTGTAACACCGCCTACTACATGCTATCCTCCAATAGCATACGGCGGTGACACAGCAGCAGCATCGCGCCTCCTTCACAGATCGGCTTCCCGAGGACAAGGTAAGGTGAGGGGGGATCCGCTGCCGCTCTGCCTGAGAAGCCTGGACACGGGGCGGGGGAGGGATGATGCAGTCGCCTGAGAAGCCTGGACACAGAAGGTCCCGGGGGACCCGCTGCCGCTCTGCAACTTCTTCTATTCGGACCATAAGACGCAGGTACTTTTCTTCCCACTTTTTGGTGAAGAAAAAGTGCGTCTTATGGTCCGAAAAATACGGTAATTCGTTTTTGACAAAAAGAAAAAACGTTGAGAGATGGACTAAAATTGCTGCCCAGTAGCAAAGTGATTAATCGGATCACGGTACCCTGTCATCTGGACAAAAAAATAAACATTTTAAATTAAAATATAAGTCAGGGAAATATGAAATATTGTATAAGTATTATGTAATTTGTCATCTAGGCAGCAAGTGCAACACTATCCTCTTCTATCTGCTTACCATCTATTTAACAAATTAAAAAAAAAAAATCTAATTTATAGAGCTTTACTCACATACAAGCAAATCAGAAGATACACCCCCCCCCTTATGCTTAGTTCTCTGAGAAGAATTCTCTTTCATGTATCTTTTTTAATAAATTATATCAATATATACAGAGTGTGTGTGTGTGTGTGTGTGTGTGTGTGTGTGTGTGTGTGTGTGTGTGTGTGTGTGTGTGTGTACAGTTGCAAGAAAAAGTATGTGAACCCCTTGGAATTACGTGGAGTTTTGCATGAATTGGGCATAAAATGTGCTCTGAAAGTCATCTAAGTCACAATAGAAGAACACAGTCTGCTGTACATAATACTACACAAACATTAAATGTTGCCATGGTTTAATTGCACATAACATGTAAACATTCACAGTGCAGGGAGGAAAAAGTATGTGAGGCCCTAGCTTATTGACTTCTCCCAGAGCTAATTGGAGCCAGGAGTGAGCCAACCTTGACTCCAATCAGTGTGATGATATTGGATGTGTTGCTGACAGCTGTCCTGCCCTTAAAAAACACACACCTGTTTTGGGTTTACTGGTTTCAAGAAGCACTGTCTGATGTGAACCATGCCTCGCAGAAAAGAGCTCTCAGAAGACCTACGATCAAGAATTGTTGACTTGCATGAAGCTGGAAAGGGTTACAAAAGTATCTCCCAAAGCCTTGATGTTCATGTGTCCACGGTAAGACAGACTGTCTACAAATGGAGAAAGTTTAGCACTGTTGCTACTCTCCCTAGGCGTGGTTGTCCTGTAAAAACGACTGCAAGAGCACAGCGCAGAATGCTGCATGAGGTAAAGAAGAATCCCAGAGTGTCAGCTAAAGACCTACAGAAATCTCTGGCACATGCTAACATTTTTGTTGACACATCTACAATAAGGAAAACATTAAACAAGAATGGAGTACATGGGAGGACACCACGGAGGAAGCCATTGCTGTCCAACAAGAATATTGCAGCACGTTTGAAGTTTGCAAAAGAGCACCTGGATGTTCCACAGCACTACTGGCAAAATATACTGTGGACAGATGAAACCAAGATTGAGTTGTTTGGGAAGAACACACAACACTATGTGTGGAGAAAAAAAGGCACAGCACACCAACATCAAAACCTCATCCCCACTGTAAAACATGGGGAAGGGAGCGTCATGGTTTGGTGCTTCTTTGCAGCCTCAGGGCCTGGATGGATTGTTGTCATTGATGGGAAAATGAATTCCAGAGTTTATCAAGACATTTTGCAAGAAAACGTACGACCATCTGTCCGCCAACTGAAGCTCCGCAGAGGATGGGTGATGCAACAGGACAATGACCCAAAGCATACAAGTAATTCAACAAAACAATGGCTGCAACAGCACAGAATACACCTTCTGGAGTGGCCCAGTCAGAGTCCTGACCTCAACCCGATTGAAATGCTGTGGCATGACCTTAAGAGAGCGATTCACACCAGACATCCCAAGAATATTGCTACACTGAAAAAGTTTTGTGAAGAGGAGTGGTCCAAAATGACTCCAGATCGTTGTGCAGGTCTGATCTGCAACTACAGGAAATGTTTGGTTGAGGTTATTGCTGCCAAAGGAGGGTCAACCAGTTATTAAGTCCAAAGGTTCACATACTTTTTCCTCCCTGCACTGTGAATGTTTTACATGTTATGTGCAATTAAACCATGGCAACATCTAATGTTTGTGTAGTATTATGTTCAGCAGACTGTGTTCTTCTATTGTTGTGACCTAGATGACGTTCGGAGCACATTTTATGCCCAATTCATGCAAAACTCCACGTAATCCAAGGGGTTCACATACTTTTTCTTGCAACTGTATGTAGACATATACATACACATTTTTATACATATATATATATATATATAATATATATATATATATATATACACATATATTATATATATATATATATATATATACACACACATTTATTATATATATATATATATATATATATATATATATATATATATAAATATAAAATACACACACATATATATAATTTTTTTTAAAAAATTATTATTTA